ATTGATGAAAATGTACAAAATGTACATGATGTTACCTTAGATGGTGAGTGGGATGTGGACAGGATTTTTGAAGTACTTCCTGAAGAGTTAGCAGTACACATTCTGGAGAAAATCAAACCACCTTCGACAATGAGGGTTCTTGATAGGCCTTTTTGGATGATGGAAACAACAGGATATTTCAGAGTTAAGTCAGCATGGGAGTATACGAGAAGAAGAGACGAACCAAGAAAAGCTTATACAATGATTTGGGTAAAGGGAATGCCTTTTAAAACAGCATTTTTCATGTGGAAAGTGTGGAAAGCAAAGTTACCTTTAGATGATTTCTTGAAAAGGGTAGGTTACTGCATGCCATCTAAATGTTGGTGTTGTGTACAACCTGACGAGGAATCTCTTCAGCACTTGTTTTTTAGATCAGAAACTACAAAGACAATTTGGAAGTATTTTCTATCGAGGGCAGGAATTGATGTGGAAGGACTTACACTGCACCAAGCAATCACAAAATGCTGGACTGCAAAAGTATGCTTAAGATTAAAACCGGTAATGCAAGCACTCCCCTCATGCGTAGTCTGGGAACTTTGGAAAAGAAGAAATAGTATGAAGTATGGGGAAGGGGTGACAACTAGCAGGGTGATTTATCAAGTTTCATCACATCTACAGGCATTGGTGAAAGTGAGAAAGCCTGGGATGGACGTGGTACCTCACAAATGGCAAGATCTATTAGCTAGGATGGAAAATTTCACTCATAAACTTAAGGTTACAAAAGTCATTTGGGAATTACCAAGTGCATGATGGCTAAAAGTTAATACGGATGGTGCGTCGAGGGGAAATCCAGGCAGGAGTTCAATAGGCTTTTGTATAAGAAATGAAAAGGGTGACATAGTCAAGTCAGTAGGGAAAGAGATAGAGGAGACAACAAACACAGTAGCTGAAGCGAAGGCCATGGTAGAAGCACTAAGGTTCTGCAGATTTCAACATTACTCTCATGTATGGCTCCAAACTGACTCAATGGTATTAAAAAAGATAATGGATGGGATATGGAAACCACCATGGATCATATCTGAGCAGATAGAGGAAATGATGCAACTAATGAATGAGGGCAATTACACAGTTACTCATATTCACAGGGAGGGCAACAAGTTGGCTGATCATTTGGCTAATTATGCTTTAGATCATGGTGAAATAGAATGTCAACATTTCTGGCATCTAGATGAAAAGGGAAGGAGGTTGGTTAATGAAGATAAGATGCAATGTCCAAGTCTAAGGGTGAAGGTGGACAGGAGATAAGAAGCAAAGAGAAAAGGAATAGCAGGAGGATTGTCAACTACAACGACAAAGATTTTCAAATTCTAAGGGAGGAGGGTACCTTGAGCGTGCAGATACAACATCGTTATTTTAAAGAACAAAATCACTTCAGTAATAGATGGGCAAGATATTATACTTAGTAACAAATAATTCTATTGAAATATCAGCTGGGACGTGAATTTGGGATTAAACTACAAAAAAGGGAGGAAAACATGTTCTCACATAAAAGGGCACGCTAGAAGGTAGAGCATGCTGGACATGGAAGCTGTTGATACTTGAGCATGCAATACTTTAGCTAATTTCGAGAAATGATAGAACGTGTCCATAAAATAAACAATGGAATTGAGTCTATCGAAGCTGGAGATACACGCATGGCATGCGCATGGGTTGAAAAGCTGTCTAGCAAGAAAGCACACGCACACGGGGTTCTTGACACTGTTTGATGCACGCTGCTCATGGGCGGACAATGAATTATGCTGAAGAGGCATCCATGCTTTGCGCAAGAACCGAGAACATTAAGCATGCGCATGGATTTGGAAAGCTGTCCAGCAAGAAAGCACGCGCACAGGGTTCATGACTGTGTTTATGCACGAAGCATCATGGGCGGATTGGTCCTATCGATGCTGAATGCACACAGTCTCGATGCTGAAGAATCACAAATGGTCTGCACAAGATGCGAGAAGTAGGAAAGCATGTGCATTGGGTCTTGACAACAAAAAATTGAGACATGTTTTATTGGGAATGCTTATGGCAGCATTCAAAAAAGAGCAGCTGGGGCGTGCCTCTTTGGTACAACAAATTTAAATTACAACAGGGATAAAAAACTATTTTTCACAAGGTTTTGAAAAATGGAATTGAGATGCATACTGGACAAGGAATTGGGAGGTGCTATTTTGGTCGTGCATTGAAGAAATATGGCTATATTTTTAAGAATGCAGCGTTTATGGGATAAAGCAAATTAGAGGGTGCCGGTGCGTCAAGAGGTAAAGCTCAAGGTGCAACCAATAGGACAAACATCCGGTGGATCAGGAGGGTTGGCACAAGCATACATCATCAAGAAATTTGGGCAAAATCAAGAATACAAATGCTTAATTTTGATAATACGCTATTTGTTAAAGTTCAAATTTTATTCCTTTCATTTGGTAGGATACAAGGACATTGTATTTTGAATTTTAAGCTGTTAATATAAAAAAAACTAGCCCTAGGCATTTGCCTAGCAGTATGCAAAAAAAAAGTATATTGTGCACATAAAAAGACGGATTACAAACGAAATACAAAATTGGTTCAGGAAGTCACAGGCGAGATTAAGAATCACAGGGAATCAGCACTAAGTAAGGAAAGCATCTCACAAACAAGGAAGTGACTCAAATCAGTGGAAAACCTCCAAAGAGTCACATACCAAAAATCAGGGATTCGAAGAGATGCACAGAATCGGCAGAACATTTAGTAAATAGAAAACAATTAGATCTATTTAAACACAGTAGGCACAAAACCAAAGAACCCTAAGTAAGAAATCACAGAATCAGTGGAACGTTAGAACAAAATAGTGATTTCGAAAGAGGTTCAGAAACCCTAGTTTTAAAAGAAGAACAAGGCGTTG